CTTCCCAGCCACAGCCTCATCACCTAAGAATGTTTGGTCCCAAGGTGGGGTTGTCACCCTGTGTACCACAGAACCTGTCAGAAAGGCCCATAGTGTTTCACCCTCACAGTGAGTATGCCGGGCACCCACTCCGAAGGGTGGATGCTCTTTGGGTGCCTGAAGCAGCGTACCAGAATCTTCCTCCGCCTTTACCGCCAAAGAAGTATGCTCTGAATACTTTTCTAGGATCAGAAAATAACTTGGCAGCCAGTAAAAAGTCGACAGAGGTGTTGCAAAACAATACGTCAAGGCAAACGGGTACACCTTTAAAATCTGGATCAGAGGCAAGCATATTTACAAACGATCAAAGGCTTAAAGAGCCATTTCAAGTGAATGAGCTGTTTGTTCATAAACCAGATTCTCCACCTCGCTTATCAGTTAATGATTTTTGGACTCTCTCTGAAAACTTTTTAAAGACAGGATCTCATCATACAGGACCAAGTGCTGGCTATGTGGATGGAAATGATAGTGTATCCCTAACAACTTATTTTTCAGTAGATAGTTGTATGACTGACACATACAGGATGAAATATCATCAGAGACCTAAGCTGTATTTCACAGATAGTGGAAGCTTCCACAAAGAATAGCATACCCCATCAATTGGAGTAGAACTGAATGCTACATACCATGCTGCTCTTGAGCCCAGCCATTCCACATCTGAGCAGTGGTACAAGGCAAACGTAGAAGGCGTACACTGCAGTAGATAGTCTTAAAAAAAGAATCTCTAGATCTGACTTTGGTATTTCGTGTGGCCTGTAAATGGGCACAGACATTGAGAGAGTGTGTGATGACTATGTACCGAGTTTACTGTACTTTGGATTCATGACTGTCTAAATTAATATGCAAACAGGTGAACAAAGGAGGAGAGGTGCTAAACTTAGGGTTCTTAGATTTGTTACTCTTGTTGCCTTAATGCTTGCCTTTGTTACTCAGCTTGTCTTTTACACTTTATACTAAAAACAGTCCCTCTGAGTGCATACATCATACAGCAGTGGAATCAACTAGATGTTACTTTTTTTTGTAACAAAATTAAATAAGTTGCAATTTAAAAAGTGTTCCTTTGGACTGTGGTCACTACATGCATAGACTAACAAAAGGGATAAATATGTTACCATACATAATGAAGTAAATGTAGTTATAAGGAACAGTGTTTGTCCTGATAGATAGTAGAAGGTGACATGGGGCTTTTTCAGCTGACTTCTCTGAGAGTATGTGCTTTCACAAATCTTCAAGTGTCTTTAATACAAGTTTACCCAGATAATTTCAAAGTTTTTATTTTAAAAGCCTTAACAAGAATTCTTTAGAAACGGTTGTTCTGTTTTGCAAGTGTTAAGTAAGATTTTTCAAAGGGAATTCAAGGAAACTGCAGAAATAGCATGTCCTATTAATACACCTGTTCTGTATAGTGTACATTTTAAAACATTTATCAGATTTGTTCACTCTATAAGCTATATATACTTTTAACTTATTAAAATTAAATTTAACCACATAAACTACAAACTGATATAGCAGAATAGGATGCTAATTTTAAAATACAGTTACCATGCAAGTATGGAAAGTTTAATTTTGTAAGGTTTTAGATATATTTGCTAGTTATGTTCAGTTCTGATTTATTCCACTATTGCATGCAAAGTCAGTGCTGCTGTTTATTCAACTTCCTCTCTCTCTTTTCAGCTTGACATTTCAAGCAATGTTTAATGGAGGTCAGACACTTGATTTTACTGATGCTTTTTCCTATGCAGAGCACTCCCACACACACATGTTCTGTACTTGGCAGATCAGGCTGTCTGAACCTGCAGCCATTTAGGCTGCAGTGGCTGAAGGGGCTAGAAAAGCGGAGGTTCCTCTCTTCATCGGCCCTAGCACTCTGCCCTGCAGTTTTAGCAGCTCTGGCATTTGCCATGTCTTTTCTTAACCTGACTTATTTAAGTAACAAAAGTGGAGGATTCATTTGGCTTTTATTTGGTTAGTTAAATTGGTGCACAGGACTATGCAATTGTTCTGAGGCCCAGCATGTGGCTCAGTGACAGCTGGGGAAGAAAGCAGCAACCCTGGCTGTTCAAAATTACCTGCTGTGTGTTGTGGTGTCAGAGGGAGGGCCTTAGAGTTCTGTTTCAGTCTTGTAACACTGAACAATATGTAATTTAACGTCAGCAAAGACTGACACAATCCAAAAAAACTAAATTTTGCCATTTCATATTAGTGTTAACTTCGGGTGCTGCTAGTTACATCTGAACATCAATGCCTTTTCATTATGAAAATAATGCAAGAAAGTTAAATATGCATAAGAAACGTTTATACTTGCACAGTTAGGAAAGCTTTTTTACATTTATAAACCGTATATACCTTATGTGAGTTTTACTGCTTCAACCAAATGTTAGCAATTGTTTAGCACAATTGTCCAGGGTAGACATTTGAACAGTAGCTTTGGTGGTTCTTTGTCAAGGTCAGGGTTGGGTTGTTTTTTGTTGGGTTTTTGTTTGGTTTTTTTTTTCTTTTTCTTTTTTAAACTACATGTAACTTACAGTAGAACTGGAACATAATATATGCAACATAATCTCAGATTAATTTTATTTCAAATAAAATAAATGGTCAATCGTAGCACTTTGGGGAGGGGTTGGGGGGAGGTCTAGGATTTATAGTGCAAATAATTATGCATGTGTGTATGTATGCCTGCTGGTAAACTGTAAAAAAAACAACTTTAAAAAGTATCCTTTTATAAGAAAATCAGTTGAATACAGAAAAAGAACCCTGAAAATGTGTCAACTTGGAAGATTCCTAATTGTAGTATTTTTGAGGTATTTCAAAACCTGTAGATTAAACTTTTCTAGTTCATCTAGCAATGTTACATACTATACATAGCCAGTTAAGTAAAACTGCCCTCTGATACTTGTGTAAAAATAAAGATTACTGGCATTTGTAAATAATGTAAAATTTGTAAAATGTTTTGAAAAAAATCTTTTATTTGAAATGACAGTATTTTTATGTATGAATAGCACAGCAACAACTGTGAATATTAGGACACTTATTTTTAAACATGCATAGCAATGTTCATACTTGTGTACAATGAGCAATATGAATGCCTATTACCAATACGAATGGATTTGGCTTCCAGTAAGCACAACTGGTAAACACCTTTTTAAAGTAGCTGTAGTAACATCGATGTATTTCCAGTCTCCTTGCTTTGCTTGAACTGATCATACCAGACTTTATATGTGACCCATGTTTACCAGGTATTTAATTAAATAATTAATTAAAAACAGCTAATTGAGGCACCTTTGGTTTTATATTTGACTCCGCACTCCATGTATGTATGTACTTAATAGTTGGTAACTAATATGTGATAACTTGTTTTAACTTTCCTAGGGTGCCTGTTTATTTTTTTTATAAATGTTCCCTTCCAGATACATATTTGTATAAGAGCCTAGACAATTTTTGTAACAGTAAAGACATTAACAAGTCTTGTAATTTATATATTTTTCAGTCTTTAGAATTATTTTCTTGCAAAGTCCTCCTTATTTGAACTATCAGATAAAAATTTAAAGTACCTTTCTCTCCTGTTCCTTTTGTATTCCACATTTAAAAAAACAAAAAAAACAACCCCAAAAACTAACCAACCAAACAAAAAAAAACAACTGAAAAAATGGAAAGATGGCTTTCCAGAGCTACATTTTTAAATAGTGACAGACTGATACTGCTACTAATGGTCCAAAGTCTTGCAGAGATGATGGTTCAGTTACATTTTTTCAAACAGCAGAATTCAACTTCTGGAAGTATTTCTTCAGTAAGCTAAATAGGTTTGTATCTGTGAAATGCATAGGGCAATCTTAATTCCATAATCCCACAGCCTTGGGTAACAACTGATTGATTAGTTACACAAGCTGTTTTGCTACCTTACGCTTTATTATGGATAAGTGAAATTTGTCTTGATGTATATATTCACATGCTTCAGGAGCATATAAAATAGCTTGAGCCCAAGGCACCACACAGCCTGCACTTCATTACCTTTAAGTTTTTTTGAGCTAAGTAAAACCTTCCATGCCAGATCTGGCTGAAGGAGAAAGTTAAATTTCCATGTATCTCCTAATAGTTTAGTTTTCTAAAGGATATTTAGACTTACACACCTGTCTTCCTTACCAGAAGAGAAATGGTGCAACAGTACTTCTCTAATAGGTTACTCCCTTGGGATTTCCCTGGTGAAATCATGTTAGGGAAAAAGAGGGCGGGGAGGAAAAAAAAATAAGTGAGCTAACTGTAAAACCTTTCTGTTGGTGAGAATGCAGTTGCAGTTCAGCATTCTTCCACAGCACGAGCCAAGGTCCCAGCAGCCAAGATCATAAATGCTAGCTTCTTAATGGACAATGAAATGTCAAAGTCCTGAAATCTACTTATTTTTTATAATTATTCGTGATAAACACCCAATAATTATGAATTGTACTTTTCAGAATTAGAAACTAGTATTCACAAGGGAAAAATACTCAAGATAACTGCACCCCCTCCTTCATCCACAGCTGAAGACTGTCTTCCCTAAAACCTGATGAGGTATAAAGCTTGCTCCATGGGTTTACCTTCCTTTTCTTCCACTGGAAGGAGAGATTCCTTAATCTAACAGAGTTTTGAAAGTCCCTATAGTGAAACAGGAAATTTTGATGCGCACCTGGAAGTTGAAACCTCTGTCCACTTAAAGTCATCCATGGTCAGTGTATGGAAGAGGGTAGTTTGCATATCACCTGCCAGCTATTCAAGAAGGCTGCCGACAGAAGGTTGCTCTTTCACTCTTTATTTCAAAGAAAATCAGAACCTGGTTTACCTTAATTAGTGAGTACAGTAGGCTGCTACTGCTGTTAAACACTAGCATGTTTCAGAAGGCAAAGTAATTGCTGCAGTAGAAACACATAATAGAAAATCAAACAGCATCAAACCCTTATGATTAATTTCTGAAAGTAAACCAGCTAGGTCCGACTTACACACACTGAAGCTGTTAGAGCTGGATTTTTTTCTCAGCCATTCTACAGTCTGTTCTTTCCGTTGATTTTATTCAAACAGCATGGATGTTCATCTCTGCTTAACAAACCTTTAGGTACTAATTACAAAAGTATAGTCAGACTATCATACGTGACCTTTAAGACACAGTACAGGATACAGGTAAAAACCTGAACTGTAATACTTGGGATACAGCCACAAATATTGTAATGTATGTGCATTACAATACGATACAGATATACATAATGTAATATATATGCTTCCTGCATTCAAGGGAATAGTGCTCCCTGCTGTTTATACTGCACAAACGGGCCTCCTCTTCCTCTGCTTGTTTCTTAAGGTGCATCCCGTGATTAGACAGTGGGTCTACAGGGAACAGAAAAGCCCAGGTTACTTTTTCAGTACTACACAGCTCCTTTCAAAGATACAGCAAACATGAGAAAAGCATCAAGCATACTGTGATCCAAGACCTGATACTTTTTTTTCGTATTAGCACAAACAAGAAAAACCCAACCTTCTCTTTTGAAATTAGTTTTACGTTTCTTTGGGGGTATTTGTGCTCTCCAGGCCCTTTGAGGTTGGGCAGGGACAGGAAAAGCTGCTCCCAGGAGCCGCTCAACTAGCAGCGGTATCTTCACCCGTGGGCGCCTCGGAGACGCACGGGCCGTCCAGCTGCTCACAGCGGCAGCTCCCCGGCCGCCTGTCACACCCTGGCCGCCCGCCAGGCCTCCTCCTCCCGCCCCGAACCGGCTCCTCAGTGCAGCACCTGCTCGCTACAGCTCGCCCTAAAGGCTAGGGGGAAGCCCGCGACAGACCGGGAGCTCCCCGCCCCGCTGCGAACCGGCCGTGAATCCGACCAGACGCATCCGCTCCCTGGCGGCGGCTGACCTAGGCCCGGCATCCTCGGGGCAGCACCTGCTCGCTACAGCTCGCCCTAAAGGCTAGGGGGAAGCCCGCGACAGACCGGGAGCTCCCCGCCCCGCTGCGAACCGGCCGTGAATCCGACCAGACGCATCCGCTCCCTGGCGGCGGCTGACCTAGGCCCGGCATCCTCAGGGCAGCAAGTAGATGACCACGAAGAGCGCCAGGTCGAAGAGAAGGAAAAGCCACAGGTCCAGCCAGTAGGACTGCCCCGACAGCGACATCGCCTGCGCCCGGCCGCCATAGTCCGCCACATCCCACTGCTCCCGCCGCCTCGCCTCCGTCTCCATGTCCTGGAGGGTCGCCTACCAGGACCGAGGTACTCACCGCGCAGGCTCCAGCTATACTTCCGGGTAGGCAGCCAATGGGAACGCAGCGCACGTATCGCCGTCACGCCCTGCGGTCAATGCATACAGACGCTGCCTTTGCTGCCTAACGCCGCGCTGCGCTTACGTTCTGCGGCGGGCGGGGGTCGGTGGGAATTGGTGGTCGGTGGGGTGTGCGTGGCGGAGTCCTTGTCGTTGTCCCTGTCGCGACCCTGTGGCATGGTGGTGTTTTGCCCCTTTCTGCAAGCACAGCTGCTCTGCCTTCCTCGTTGCTGTCCTGGGAGTTGCCGCCGCGATGGGTACTTGCTGCTGGGTGGCTAATGGCGGTGACCGGCGGGGTGGTATGGTAAAAGCCCTGGACAAGGAGGGAACTCCTGCTTCTCTTGCTAGTTCTGGGGGAAGCGCTGCCTGCGGAGGCTGAGTTGGTGACTGACGTTTCTGCGGTAGTACTTCTGTACCACTGGTTGCCGCTCCCTGACAGGGCTCTCGGCCGGGGGAGACAGGTGTGGAGAAAAGCAGGTGGGCAGTCGTGTCAGACCGTGTTGGTTTTCTTCTGTGAAGCTGTGCTGGGGCTTATGTGGAAATAGACATACACAAGTTCTTTCTGATACGGTTTCTTGGAGAGCCGATGATGACCTGGAGGAAACTGAAAGACTTTTTTGAAAATCCTCATGTGAAGAGCTTGAGGAAATTTCAAATCGTTCCAAGATGTTCTTCCCTTTCAAAGATACAGCAAACATGAGAAAAGCATCAAGCATACTGTGATCCAAGACCTGATACTTTTTTCTTCGTATTAGCACAAACAAGAAAAACCCAACCTTCTCTTTTGAAATTAGTTTTACGTTTCTTTGGGGGTATTTGTGCTCTCCAGGCCCTTTGAGGTTGGGCAGGGACAGGAAAAGCTGATTCAGTTACAAAAATAACTGAAGGAAAACACTGATTTCTTTTTTATTCGCTTATGGCCAGCAAAAAAAAAAAAAAAGTCAGAGCCGAGAAAACAGGGGAGTAAATTTTGTGAGGTATTTAAAAAACCCACTAAAATCATAATGACAAGTATGGTTGCGTGTGAATCTTAGTTTAGGCCTCGGGGCTGTCCTCAGGCTCGTGTGGTATTGTGACCTTTTGGCAAAAAACCTTACATGAATCAGCCTTTCAGGGCTTGCTTGTATGCTGAAGGACAAGAGTACCGGCAGCACACAGGTCTGGCTTGCTGATGCATCAGAATTGGTCCAGGACCAGGAGGCAGACTGCCCTTTAGACATGTGGACAGGACTAGCTGACCATTGGGAGGCATCGTTAGAGGGACACAGCAGATGTAACTAGCGCTGATCCTCAAGACGAACTTTTACTGCAGCCCTGAGGAAACAGTGCAACTCAAGGGGTGCGAGGCTGGGTTGAAAATAACACAGACTGGACAGCATGAGCAGAACATGGTGCTTATTTGTCACCTGTAAGGAACACTAGTGTTTGGAGTCAACGTAGTTTGAAATTATTCCTTATCTTGTTAAGATCCTTTCAATGTTTTTGTTCATGTCCTAAAAGAAACTTGCTCAGAGCCTGCTAATTCTCTTCCTGACACAGAATTATTTGAACCCCTGATAAATGGCAACAACTGAAAATCTCCATGTTTAAAAGCATGGTCATATTTTTTGAAACAAACACAGTGAAATTACTTTCTGTGAGATACCAGTATATCATCAGTACATGCTTTATATTATTCCTGTTGATTAGAGGAATGGGATATCATTTAAGACCTCCAAGTGAGCTGTATTATCACACCATATTTTATATTTATTCCATTTTGTGCTTACGGAGACTTAGGTGCTCTGAGGTTTCTTTCGGGCTTTGCCATCCATATTGCATAAAATTTAATACACAGAGAAACCATTTATCCATATAAATAGTATGGTAAGGAAACTAAGTTGTCATTTGAGAACCAATGCAAGAAATTATTTAAGTTCTGCTTACAGAAAATAATTTCTGTGACCTTTTACATTATGGCACTCAGATAGGACTTGGTGTAAACAACATTTTAGCATTGGTATCAAATTATAATTAGATTTTGTTTATTCAAGGCAAAACAATAAACATAAAGAACTAGCCTGTGTTTTCAACAGGGATAAGTAATTGCAGCTTAAGAGGTGCTGTGAGGGGATAAAAGTTAAAAAAAAAAGGCAGAGGATATATAGAAAGATGGTCTTTTTTTTCTGATGCTGGTCTGGGTGAAGTTCTTAGGCTCTTTTGAAGATTCTCTTGGCTTCAACTCCTTCATATATGTAAGTCTGTTAAGAAATTAGGAAGAAAAATCAGTGACTGGTATTACAGTTTCATTTCATGGATGCTATTGAGAGATGCGCAGTAGTGATTTCATGAATTGTGACTTGTGGCCGTGAGGGGCCTGCCAGTCTTGTGCAGACTTTGGGGAAAGAACATGAGAAAAGCAGCCTGTTGTCAGTAGTCATAAATTCTCTATGCAAGCATTTGGACTACCACAGGAGATCTTTTGGGGACTTAAGAAAAAACCTGAAGTGTTGAAGTCCTGTGTTCCCAGTACCACTGTTTAACAGGTTTCATCTCTGTGACTCTTCTTGTTAGAAGCACTGAAGGGTTGGACTGTATGTTTTGGTATCTCGTGTCTCACAACCATGATGTTGGTGGTGTTTTTTATTTTACCCTTTTAAGAAGCTTGTGTCCCTCTAACAGAGAGCATCCTAAAGCATTACAGTTCAGTTCAGCTACAGAGCTGTGAAACATTTCCCTTTTGTCTCAGACTTAGCCCTCTGTGCATCGTCTCCTGCCCCAACACCAAATTTGTTTCAAAAAGGGCACTTATTGGCCATTGATAGCATTACACTGTAGTAAGCTGATGTGATAAGGCTTCTCAAGGCAGAGACTTCAAAAAGAACATACCTACATAGTCTGTATGTCTGTCTAGCTCGCTGTCTCTCTGTCTGTTTATATATATCTTCTGTATACAGGTTTTATTCACAGCCTTAGAGTGCATTGATAATATACAGGTCACGTGGGTAGAAAAACAGTAGTCACAGGTTGTGCGTTTTATTTTAAGTCTTTAAATTTTGATAGATTAGTTGATTTGAGAATTTTACCTAAAAGTATTTTAAATTATTTGGCTTGAAGAAAATATTTCCCACTTTCAAAGAAGCTTTTAAGTTTTTTCAGTTATTATATTGTAAAGTTGTATGTAAGTGACCACTTAACTCACCTGAACAAGTTCGTCACCTATGACTTCTCTGTTTGCTTTGAGTACTTTTCCATTATCTTTTCTAGTAAATGTTCCTACAAGTTTGTTTCCTTCCATGTTCCAAGAGCCCTGTAATAGGAAAAAAAAAATCAAAAAACAACCAACAAACCCAACCCTGCAAATGTTTTACTATAGATATGACACTGATTTGATTTAAAAGCTGCAGGAATGCTTAAAAGTGAGAAGAGATTAAAACAATGTAATACTGCTCTTTTGGACATTGAGAGAAAGGCTGGAAAAACAAAATTGTAATAAATCCACTAGTTAATTGCATAGTAGTCAAGCAAGATGTTCTTAGTGCCCAGCACTCTTTATTTTAATTAATGGCATCAACAGAGAGAAATTCCATATAAATACTGACTCTGCCCTCTAGCTTCTGGACTTGAGTATTGCAAGTAGTAAAATCGCATTTGCCTGGATTTCATGGGAAAACTGCTACATTTTACTCTGCTTTTTGGACCCTCTGTGGAACCCTGAGTTTCATGGTACAGTGTTGAATCATTAAGACTATTATTGTGGTTTAAACCCAGCCAACTACTAGGAAGAAAATTAATTCTATCCCAGCCAAAACCAAGATAAATACCTTGTGGTTTTGTATATAAGCTGTGAGCATTCCTGAACAGTCACACTTTAAAAGTAAAATTTAAATTAAAAACTAGGAGACAAACTATTCATCTTGAAACTGTACTTCATAAAGTTATTGCCATATATAATAAATATAATGATACAGGAAGTATCTTACAGCGAGTTCAGTCCCATCAGCCAAACTGTACTCAAAATCGACTCCCAGTGTGAATTCAATGTCTATGGTACGGAAGTTGCTTGATTCTTTGAGAGTAAATGTTTTCCCATCTTGTTGAAAAGTGATCTTCAAATTATCATGAGCTCCTAACTTTCTTTTCATCATGTTAACACCTAGGAAAATCAATTAACATAAATCAGAAAAAATAAAAGAAACAAAACCCACCACAAAAAACGGAGCCTCATCTTTGTCTCTTTTTAGTGACTTTTATGTGGTGAAATGAGTTTATTCCAGCATTCTAACCCAAATTTTCATTCTTCTTCACTTTTTATTGAGGCTGTATTCACCAGTACAAACTATCCAACTGGAATGGATTATGTTTATATCCATATATTGCACAGTTTATAAAAACTTAAAGTATCAGGATGTTAAAATTACTCGACTCATGTATTTCTGTAGAACTGAAGAATGATTTCCTTCCTGTGTAATTTTAAAAGTAGTTTCATGTTATCAAATTGATATTCCTGCTATAGAATTCTGCTGAAAGTGTATTCAGATTGTCTGAGCCTTTTACTCAAATGTAGACTTAGAGATTCTTTCCTCTGTTGAAGTGAATCTGCTGCAGTTAAGTTGCTTAAGATTAAAATAATTAAAATCAGAACATTTCACAGTTTCCCCCCTCCCCCTTGTGATTTTCTGTAAACAAATGCAGTACACTATGCAAGGGGGACAGCAAAAGGACAGGCTAGCCAGAAGGTAGTTCATAGAAAGCTTGAATTTGTATTCAGTGATAGTGGTATTATTCTTGTAGAAGGCATTGGAAAAGTAAGACTTACCCATTGCCTCCATGAACTTTTCATAGTTTTCATTTCTTTCTATTTTCCAAGTACCGTTAAATGCCATGTTTCTGCTAGTTGGACTCTTCTGAAGTAACATACCTTTGCAAAGAGAATTTATGTACTAGCTTATCTTGACAGCAGTTTACAGGATGATGTGGCTGACTAAAGCTCAATGCACTAATTCTTTTCAAGGAGAAGATTACCTTACTTTAATCAAATTTCCAGTCATGACCGCACTGTTTTGCTGCATCTCTCCCTTATTGCTCTCAAATCATGACAGCATCTTTATTGCACATCTTAATAAAGAATTGCTAATCTGTGCATTTTATTCATTATATTCGAGTTATAGTGAAAATTATCAGTAAGGTAGAGAAAGGAGCCATACTTTAAGCCAAAACAGGGTGCTAGAAGTTGACCGTGCGTTACAGTTAAAATTTTTTTTTTCCAGACCTTTTGGTCTTAAGATGAGATTTGATGCAAGCTGGTGTGTTGTAGTTGTGAATACACATGTTCCAACTACAGCTTTTCCAGTTCAAGAAGACTCTCACAACAGTAGTTTGCAGAGGTTATCTTCGATCTGTCAAGGGAACTCCTTTGATGAGTGTTCCAGTTGCTGTTGTTTGACTTCCTCAAAGCTGTGGTCTTCCATCTTAGAAGTGCCTTTTTTAGTTCAGTGCTAGGAAGAAGCAGCACCTGCCACTTTTCCTGTGCTTTCTACCTCTTCTTGCAAGGTAAAGAAGCCTACCAGATGGAAGGTGTTCAGGTGGTTTACTGTTAGTGGTGGTGAGGGAAGAATCTCACAATATCTATTTAAGAACACCAGTTAGGCCTTATTATGTAGTTTTTACATGCTTTTTTACATGTTTTTTTACAGTTTCTTCACACAGTTTCATGTGTTTTTTATCGCCTTGACTTACATGACAGTTATAAAATTTGCAAAGAAGAAGGCATAGTTTTACTAGAGAAAAATACTGGCTCTATATAAATACTAGAATTCCAGAACTACTTTTTTTCATGAAGGACAAAATTGAAATGCTGTATCTCACTGTGAACTGAAGCATTGTCTGGTATAGGCAAGGCATTTCAAGATATTTGACTTAGGGAAATATATGCATGCTAGCCCCTGGAACTGGGTAAAAATTAGCTAACTCTAAAATGCATAGTTGTGTTAGCATGGTGATAAATCCAAACTCAGTGTCTCAAAAAGTGTCAGAGCCCATGCCCAGTGCTCTACTAATCACAGATGCCTATCTTACCTTTCAGGCAGCTCAGAAAATGGGCAAAATGAGTTTCTGTTAGAGTCAGATTACCTCTTTTTATTGCACTGGGGTGTTTCTTGACCCTTGTAGTTATCATTGTCAATCTATATTATTTATTTGGTATATATACATAAACAAAAATAGCCAATGTCTGGTTATAGTTTATCCAGTTTATTGTTGAGTAATAAAGTTATTAACTCTCTTTACAATCTTTGCAGAAGGGTTCTTTCTGACAGTAAGTCAGTGTAGTGCAGTGCAACTTTTGAACCACTTCTCTTGTATCCAGTAGAAAATTGAAATTCACATTATTTTAGGTATATATAAAATCTAACAAATAGGAAATTACCTTTATTTTGAGCATTTCAAGAAAGCTTGTCTACTTTTCCAGTGGCTTCTGCATTCTCTCCAAGAACCTGCCAATTCATTTCATTTAAGAAATGCTAAGTTATCTGAAGTAGTGTTTCTATATTTAAACAAAACTAATGTTAGTGATTGCTTTCCTCATTTGAATCCAGTCTATCTTCTTAACCTTTGAGAAAGTAACTCAGAGTAGTCACATTCTGCAGGTTAAGAATGAATTTTTGCATCAAACTTATGTCAGCAGTTTTTCTGAACCTTAAAATATGGGGAGGGTCTTCCGGAGCAAGTCCTCAACTAAGAGGAAGATCTCTTAGATGTATTTTTTTCTAGTCAGTTATCTCACAACTTGCCTTTCCCCCCTTGTGATTCTAATCTTCCTCAGAAGTCAGGCTTACCAAACTTTTTTACTTCAAACATTTTTATCACGTGAGCAGCAAGTAGCTGGGTCCTGAATTTCATGTCAAAACTTGTTGCTCCATTTCTCTCCCATTTTTCCTTTCCGTAACATATCTTTTCATTGGGCATGAATCCTTAGGATCCTGTTCAGATCAGCCCCACAGATCTGTCAGTTAAGTAGGAATCTCCACAGGTGATCAATATTTATGAGCTTCATGGTGTCTATATGTTGGTGTAGCACTGACAGGTCTGTTAGTGCTAGAACAAGCAGCCATCTTTTTAATCTCTCACAATTTACATGAGTTACTTAGGACTATTAGCACACTAACATTTGAGTTCAGTTGTCTTACCAAAATCATATGATACACAGTTTAATCAGAATTCTTTCGAGTTCCTTTAAAAGCTGGGTTTCCTTCTAAAATTATAATTAATATTGTATTTACAGTATTTTTTGTTTAATGTTGGAATATTCCACAATCTTTTTCCTTCTTCTATGTCATCGTTGTGTGGTTTTCAAGACTACAGTTTTGGCTTAGATGGTGCATTGAAAAACCTGGGTTTTAGTGTTTCTGGTTGCATGTAAGTCATAAAAGCTAAGGGTGTGTATTCTTGACTTTGTGGCTTTCTTTATCATGTAAGCTTCAGAACACTGAAAACAGACAAACTTTTTAACTTTGAAGTTTGATCTTTAAATGAGGTGGATAGAAATAAATAATTAACTTATATGGTCATGCCAATCTGATCATGCCAGTCTGTGGTAATCATGCCAACCTGTATCATGATGGTAATGGACAATGAGGGTCCAAAGATCAGGGTGACAAAAATGCTTTTGTAGTGTGTTACATTCATCTATCCCATTTATTTTGTGATTTGTCTTCAAGTTGTTCTGCCTAAAATTAACCAGGACAGTAGATCTCAGCCAAAACTCAGCTTTACTATGGAGTGGTTAAGGCCTGGTGCCAGCATAAACATAATATGCTTATGTAAATATTATTATATATAATATTGTATATTAAAAAGAGATGAATCCCTGTCAAAATCATGCAGATTAACTGTTTTCTGTCTGGTAGCTGTGAAGTGATTTGTCTATATGCATGTGTTTTACTGCATGATTCTTCTGTATGTCTTGGGATGGATTGTGAAAATGGTTGGGCACTTAAATCATTCAAGTTCTCAGGATCCCTTATTGTGAAGTTTTACTAAGCATTTAAACCACAATACTTGATATGGTAAATAGGTAATTCTGTTTAAAAAGTAGTTGGCCAGTAAAGCCAACTTTAGCATAACGATGGGTGGCCTAGCAGCAAGGAGCTCAATGGAACTAAAGCCATCTCTTGGGTGAATAATTTCAAAGTACGTATTTTAATTGGATGTTGTGTTGCTGCAGGATTAGATCATACTTGAGCTAGATTTTGTCCTACCCCAGCTGCCTGTTTGCCAAGTTTATGGTTTCATTTTCAATCAAGGAGAATCTCCTAGATGCTGTTGATAATGCAGTGTGCTCAACATGAAGATTCAACATTTGAAGATTATTTAGAAATGTGAGTATACATCCATTTCTCTGATTAGTTAGTAGTGGGCTGTGAATCTTAAAACTTAATTGTCAGTATACACTCCTGTGTAATGGCTCTGATCCATAAAGTGCTGCGTGTTTTTGAGAGTTGATTATTGAACAGAACTGAAGTGCATGAGCTAGTAAACGCCAGGTTAGAATATCTAGAAGCAAAATACAGGCTGTTTTTTTTAAAGCAGTTACAACTCTGGTATTTACCTCATCCATTACTGTGTGCTAAAGTGAATCCTAGGATTACTTGGAATAGTAGAATCTAACCTAGTTTTACTGAAAATAGGGTGACAGTGGAGAACTGCCAATAAAGACAAGCGTGCTTTCCCAGTAAAAGTTATATTAATCTCTAAGTATTAGTGCCATTTGTCGCTTGTCACATAGAGACTGGTATGTTGGTTGACCTGTGTGCTTTGTGTCAGGTTTATCTAAGGTATTAAAATGTATATTTTCTAGGCAAATAATAGCAGGCACGTTTAGGGAAGTAGTTTCTTTTAGTTCAGAATATGGAATGTGATCAAAGTGTAGGACTGAGTTATAGTCTAATGAACTAATGATGTACAGTAAATAAAGTCTTCATCAGTCTTTCCGGTTTCTCCAAAATTTGAACTGGACCTGTAGTTCATTTCACCACAGCTATTTGCTAATTATACACTTTTGCTCTTGATTATCATATAGCTCCAAACTCCACCAAATATTATTGTGGTTATCTGGATTACTGACTTGAATCTTATCTCACGTGTAAAATAGTAAGCTTCAGAGTTATTTTGAGCTCAGCATCATAGAAAGAGAGCACCCTATATGGCTTAGATATTTAAATATTTATATATCCAAAAGGAAAATATGTCTTCAAAACAAAACATTTGTTTAATATCTCATATAAAAGCAGAATGGACACCCAGATCTTGGCTCTATTTCCAGCTGAGAAGGAGACTTTGTATGTGCCCTTGATCAATTTGATCCCTCTACTTACCTGTAAAAGAAATTTCCCTGCCTTTAAAAAGCCATATATATCATAATGTGCCAGTGATTTGGTTAACTACTACAAAAGTTTTGTGAACTAATGCCTATATATGAATGCATCATGTGTAAATTAGTGATATGATTTAACCATGGATTTTAATACTAGTTTTTGTTAAAGATCTTTGATGATAAACATCATTAAAGTGTAAATGTATTTATCAGTGATTATGCACCACTGGGTGGGCAGTAGCAGGATATCGCTTAAACTGATCATCCTCATATTTCAGCAGGAAAGAGGATTTTATCTTTACTTGATAGTACAGATTCAGAACAGAAAATAATGCAGCTGTTTAGAGAACAGTTCAGTCTTTCAGGAAGTGTGAAAATAAATTTGTCTTAAATAAAATAAAAGCTTTGAAATAATGGGGGGAAAACATGCCACCAGGCATTTCAAGAAATTATGGATTGTAAATATCGAAGTGAAAATTTACTGTGTTTATAACGTGGTACGTTTCAACTTAAATTGGAATTCTAAAGTTCTGCATATGGCTAAGAAATGCCACTTTCCACTGAAGGGCTCAAAATCTCAATGGCTGTCAGATTCCATAACTTTAGATCCTAAAGCTAACTACTGTAGCAACTCACACTTTTGAATTATTTCTGGAGAATCTTAAAGGGTGAGATTTCACAGGAATGTGAAATGTATGTCAGCAGTAGCTGTCACCACTGTTACTAAAAATATGGCTGGAGGAATGAGTTATTGTCTTTTCCATTTGTTAAAAAGGTATCATAGTTGTGCAGGATGTGAAGGACCAAGTGTAATACTCTTTTTCACCTTTTCAATAACAATGCCCGCTTTTAAGGTTATATTCTTTTCTGGGTTGCGTAAGAAAGGTACTAGTACTCCCGTTGAAAACTGCACCATTTCTCAGAAATGAATTCAAACATTCAGCAAGACTAAGTAGGAGCATGACTAGGTTGGTGAGTGGGCTGGAAAGATTGTAGTCCCAACAGCAAACGATTACCTGATCAATGTAGATATACGCAGACAGTTGTTCAGTTGCACTCATAAACTGCAGTTGGTTCAAGCAAGCAGTGCTTGTGTTTTGTGCCGAACTAAATCTGCCCTTCATAACTTTTTGAATGAAGCTGTTGTTTGTCAGGGATGTACATACTTTCTGGTTTTGCCTACAGCTAAAAAAGCCAGAAGTGTTGGTGTGGAGAACCTAATAGGCAAAGAAAAGAAATTGCCTGGAAATCCATTGGTCTAGAATTACTTCTAGGATCAGCAGCTCACAAAGGATGAGGCTTTTGTTGTCAAAAATAGTTTTGTCACACTTTTGCTTAAAGGCATGGGGTTGACTATTTCCATCTCTCTTATGTGCTACTCCAGGGATACTTGATACTTGGGGTAAGAGGATGGATCTGTGTAACAGTTGTATTTGCTAGTTCTACTTATCCAATAAATAAACTGGTTTCTGACAGCTAGTAAGTGTAGTTGCAGTGCTCTCTGGTGGTTAGAAGCAGTGAATTATTTTTTGATGTTTTTAAATGAGAAGTACTGTACCACTGGCTCACTTACTTAAGTAGTACTTAGGCTATAAGTATCTTGATATTAATAGTAAAGTTTTTCTCTTCTGGATTTCTAGGACTGACAGAAGTTATTATAAAATACACATTTACACAAGCAATTATTTGAATCAGGAAGCAATGTTTTGTTGAAAATACAACCTCAATACTATTACTTAACAAACAGTAAAATTTGACATTGTCCTTTTTATTTTAAAAAGCATGAAAACAATACAAAGACAAGAATGAGGAAATAAGTAATAAGCAGCAGTTTGACCTTAGAGAATAACCTGACTATATTCTTTCAGCTGTACAGTAAGTACTAATGATTCTCTTAATGTAATTAGTTTTACTAAGCAGTCATAGGACAGAAGCAAGCAAGACCTTGTAACATTCAGAAGACTTTAATACTGCTTAAAGGCAAAGCATAATATGCAGAGTAATCCCCTTAACCTAGTACAAAAAATACTGTGCCCGGAAACAATGTATTTGTTCAAATATTTTTAAAAAGTAAAAACATACAAATAGACAAACTCAGTGGCTAGGGACTGTGATTTAGATTTTTATTAAACTATAATAGAAATATATATTAAAACTATTTACAGTGCATTTCACACTACATTCTTTGAGACATACGCAGATATCTGCCATGTGAATAAATAGAGGGCTCAAATTCTAACTTCACTTACATCTGTAAGGTACCTCAGGCCTCAGCAGGAATAGCTGAATACAGCAAAGAACAGGTGAGGCAGATGTTACCAAGGGTAAGAGTTTGGTCCCTCTTTATAGGAAAAAAAAAGGCGGATTTGACTCATTCCATCGCTTTGTATACAGCTCAGTCAAACTCCCACAGACCTAAATAGGAATCATCTAATTGACTTCAAATGGGCATTTGAGCATGCCTTAGGTGGCATGACAAGCTCATGCTGTGAAAGTTAGTGGAAATATTATTTATTATATTAATATTATAGCAAAATATTATAGTGGAAATATTATGTAGCATTGTCAAAATGTGGAAAATAAACTTTCCTATGAAATTTCAATTCACCTAGGAATTATAAAGATCAGATATCTTGCTGTCACAATTTGCTGCATTTAGCAGGTGTCACCGATTTCCAGGCCAGATCCTGTAATGTTTCTTGTTCCTGTGAAAATCCAAACCAAAAAATCCAGTCCTCGTCATTTGTCATACTCTGGCCAAACTGATTCTGTTACTCAAGCTCCAATGTTCATGCTTATCTCCACAGCAGCCTTCCAGTATCTCAAGGGGGCCTACAACTATGCCAGAGAGGCAGTCTTCATCAGGGACTGTAGCAGTAGGGCAAGGGGGAAACTGAAACAGGGGAAGTTCAGGTTAGATACAAGGAAGAAGTTCTCTACTGTGAGGGTGGTGAGGTACTGGCACGGGTTGCCCAAAGAAGTTGTGAATGCTCCATCCGTGGCAGCGTTCAAGGCCAGGTTGGATAGAGCCATGGGCGACATGGTCTAGTGTGAGATGTCCCTGGGGCACCAATCAGATGACTTAAGCAAAATCTCCTAATTTTAAGGGGCTAGGGATGACTCTTCGTAATCCTTCTGCATAATGGTTTGGAAATTCAGTTACCTAGTAATTTTGAGAAATCTTATGTAGAAGTCAGACAGTGTTCTGATTTAGTCTGTGCCATTGCCAGCTAAAGTGCATTGAACTGGCATTCAGAAGTTTATCTCCACATGCACACAGTTGCTGGAGGGTGATGCATAAAATGAGGCTTCAGTCCTCTCTTCTAAAGAGAGATCAGCTGGTCATCAATGAAAGAGCATTCACTTTTATCACTAGCCCACTTGTATTCTGTGAAGATAGGAGAGTAATCTGCTCTTAACTTTAAAGTGCTACAATGAAAAATCAATACCAACTCCAAAATCAACATTATGTTATGTTACCCCTCCATTCTTTTATTGTGTGAGATAATACAAAACCTAGACGTTCTACAGCCAATATTGGATTGGATTGCTGGAAAAGAGGTACTACAAAAGCTTAAGAGACTCACTGTTAATTTTATTTAGAAGAGGTAGGGTTATTTTGTGTATGTTATGACAAGTAATTTTTTTCAAATGGGGAAACAAAGCACAGAGCAAAGTGTACTTTAAGCATTAAACTGTGCTGTGGAGTGACTTTTAAAGAAAATATGTCCACATCTGAGAACAAATAGGCTACTGACTTAGAAGTCTTCATTGAGACAAGTATTACAAATTAATGGAACAAATCCTGTACCCGAAGACTTAAATATCAAATTTCACAGTGGCTCTAATGGACTTAAAACTGAACTGACAAACTGATAAACTCCATTGCAGCTTGTTTTTTGTATGATCCACACTGATTACTTTAGGTAGACAATGTAAGTTGGGGAGAATATGTTTGAGGCCTGACAAAAAAAAAATAAAACTCGTAATGAAATTAATGGCAGCTGTATGGCTGTAATCCATGAGCTACATTTGAAAATTCTGAAGGCAATTAATTCCAGGCAGAAAACAACCTGGCTTTTCTTTTTTTTTTTTTCTTGTCACTTACCTACATTATGAAAGGACTGATTGGTTTCTGCAAACAGTTCACACAAAGCTAACACGAAACCAGCATACTCTGCCTTCAGGCAGAGTAAGACGCTAGATGAAGAATATGATCACTGAAATTTTGTTAAGTACAGCAGCCTATGCTTTTAAGGTTCTCAAAACAACAGTTTAAAGGGTTTGGTTTTGTAAAAATATATACAGGTATTATGAAATTTAAATGGTTCATTTACTAGGAACCACATTTCTATGTATGTTCCAGTCTTTGTAGCGGAAGAGATTCTGTGGGATAAATGTGTACAGATATGTAATTAGATATATGCACATAATGTAGGCCTGTTAATTTTATGTGAACCTTTGAAAAAATGCAATATGTCCTTTTTTTTCAAGTCACAGGTATGAGCCCAGCACTCCTTTGTAATAGCTATAAATTTACATTATACTAAAGGTTTGCTGAACACACAATATAGCAAAGAAATGCTGGATCTTAATGGAAATTACATGTCACTACACTGTAGTATCACTGTAGCTGATCTGCCATGCTGTCACTATGAATTACTAGTCTCAACTGTACTAGCTAGAATGCACATTTATATACATACACTTTAGTCATATTTATATTAAATATGTATCTCATCAGTTACCATAATAATTACATTTCAGGATGTAATTACATTTCAGTATCTCAAGCATTCAAGGAAAAGAATATACAAGGACTATGCAAATCCTGAAACAAAGTTTCCTGTTTATCAAGAAGAACCAAAAAACTTCTTTCTGGAGAGTGTGTTGGGAGGGCAGGCTGCTGTCATTTTTCTCAAAAGCTGTGACATACTACATACATACATTGTACTGTGTGTGCATATAAACACACATATGGAGCACTGCATAACAGTAGCCCTGGAAGTCTATAACTGTTTAATTCCATTTTTTTTTTTAATCTGGAAAATAATGAGAAATATTCTGTAGAATTTTTTTTTTCAAATTCAGTTGCAATAATATTGCATAATATAATAGTAATTACAATATTGGTAGTCATTAAGGAAGTTTGACATAGGATTTAATCAGTGACAAAAAACTTAGGTTGGCAGAAATGCTGCAGACTATCGGAATACTTTGTACCTTGGGGTTGGTCTAATGTGTATATTATCTTGAATTGTCTCTCAATTTATTAGTCATCTTCATTTAAATAAAATACCAATGTTACCTTTTCCACTAATGCAAGTCAATAGATTTCCTACCTTTCAGAACATTAGTGGCTCAAATAAAAATGGCAAATCCCTGTAACATTCTTGGCTGGTTTATGCTTTCAGTATTCTTTTTATCCTATTACTTTAAGGTATTGTGACTAATCATTGTTAACATTAACTAATGATAAAAATGATTTTAAAAATATGTTAACATAAAACTTAGATTGGTCATAGCCATTTCATAAAGCACTGGCCTCAAGAATTAGTCATTGATAGTCACCAGAAGTGTCACCATTTCTGCATCATTCTGATTTATCTCTTTCATCTTTGCTCTTGCAGTTATATTCTCTTCTATTATTCCTGCCTATGATTCAGTCTGTTAAGATGATGTTAAATTCAACTTCCAAAGGAAGTTAAAACCAGCATATAAAAATGACCTTGTTTAGTTTCCATTTCTCTGTGTGCTTCTTGCAGCTTTCTATGACAGCTGTCAGTTATCTTGTGACATTTCATTGACCTTCAAGTAATTTTCATTATTCATGAATATTTATGACACTCCTACCACAAAATTCCTAAGACCCCCATTGCTTAGTAATTCACAGGTTTGGGTTTGGTTTTTTATATTTCTCTAAATGCAAGACATTTCCTAAGATATTTCTCTAGTCTGAATAAAACCTACTGGGTGCACAGATTCTGGGACTTTTTTCACTCTAAAGCCCACTTTCGTCTCCTGAAAGAGGTGAGTATAGTATATACTGGATTAGGCTCCCTAGAGGTAGTCCCAGTCCTTCCTCTGAACCTCTGGGAAGAGAAAAGGGAAGACTGCTCATTACTTTTAAAATGTAATGCAACAAGACTAGAAGAGGAAAAAATATGTGAAATGCAGCAGTCTTTAAGATACTGGCCACAACATGATCACTAAACAACTATATACATCTGTAAAGTAATAAGCTCTTGGGGACAGTCAAGTAACTGCATTTGTACATTCTCGCAGAATAAGGTAGCAAAAAATACCCTTGCAGACATTTTTCCATCTCCATCAGATGTAATAAAAGAAACACATTCTTTATATAACCTTGGCACATACATGGTCATGCTATATCTTGAAATGTGGAAAAATAACACAGCAGTGGAAAAACACAAGCCAGATTCATACAGTGTTTAGCAAAATGCAGAACTCCCCTATTACTATGTTTTCTATGTGAACTCAAACTCGTGGTTGTTAAATCAGCATCTCAGTTCCGTTTGGCTTGATTGCTTTCTCCATTGATCAGATTCTTCTCTTGTTGTTCAGCTAAGGATTGCCATTTCTGCCTATTTTTTCTACAGCCATCCAGTAAAGGGTAGCAGGCCTCTGACACATGCGTTAGGGCCTGAAATAAATCAAGAATATGTAAAATGTATTAAATTTAACAACAAAGTAAGTGTTCTTAAAGATTACCATGAGAGACCAGAATGAATTAAATATGAGGTATATATTTAATTGAAAATTAACATGTATTTTAAACTTCAAGGAAGACTTCCTGCTGCATATCAAACATGAACAAAATTACCTGGCACTAGTGCAGATTAGACTGAGGTATGGAAAGAGTGTTTGAGCCCACTGATTCTGTAATTACTATGACCAACGGCAAAGTACACAGAGAAGAAACCTGGCCCCTCTGCTGGTCACTATACAAAATGTAACATCAGTCAGAATTTCACATGCAATTCAGGTCTTGCTGAAATAACTTGAGGTAGCAATGTCTAGTTCTCCTGTTACTTTATATAGACCCTACTGAGTTCCCAGCTTGTATAAATCTCCATAGATCCTTCTGGTTTTATAGGCTGCTGCATTAGTTCCAGTAGACCTAACTGAATTATTGTTCATTTACACTGTAAGAATAGGGCTGACATCTCTGTAGTTTTCTTATTTTATTTATCTGTATATATCTAAGCAGCATTTAGAAGTGCTAAATGGTATTTTTCAATTAAGAAAATGGAAAGAATGAAACACATTGCTTTTATTTTTTCACTTAAAATAAATACTTGTAGATCGTTCAGTTTAACTGTACTGATTACCTAGCTAACACAAGCCACAAAACTTCAGTTCATAGGGACCTGACCTACTCTGAATAACATGGTCAGTCACATACTCGCAGTGCTGTATTGGGAACTCATTTATGTTTGTGTTGTGTGTCACATTCCTACTGACTGGAGGAAAGTGAAGAAAACTCTGAAAAAGCTGTCATTGCAACCCTTGTTTTTGTTTGTTTTTATAGCATTTGAATATTGGGTGAGTGAAGTGTTTGCTTTTTCATTTTCAAAGTAACACTGAAGTTGTTTTACCATTTATTACTCACTAAAGAAAACAAAAATCTGTGTAAGCAGGTAATATTCCGTACCTGTACACCAGTCAAAAAAAAACCAAAACACTGGATCAACTCAAACCATAGCCACTTCCTTGAATTTACCAGTGCTGTTACTGGTTTTGCCACTTCCTCCCCATAAGGCTCCCCATCTTCTTTAGTGCTCTCTGCCCTGTAGGTAAGTCACTGTCACTTATCTGTTGGGTTAGGACACAAGCTGGCATATTCTGAACCTATGTGAAAATCCCAGACACTGTCAGCCATGTGCTGTTCCAGTTCAGGTCAGACTTTGGAACAAGATGACAAAGAGTGATGCACTGAAAGCTGTAAGAGGCAACATGTTCTTATATCAAAATACATTAATCAGACAAATATACCATTAATGATAAATGCTAAAGTAATGATTTCTTCAACTGAATAATGAACCATATGTGATATATAACAAAAAAAAAAACAAAACACAAAACAACCTTTTTTAACTAAGGGAGTAGTTTTGTACGTGATTTTTATTCTAATTTTAAATCTGCTACAGTGAGCAGTTCTGGATTTAGATGTTTGCAATTCTTGCTTAGGCATCATACCTCATACAGCTGCAAACAAATAGCATCTATGAATCCAACCTGCATGCTGGGAATTTTATTTTTCTTCTCTCTGTTCATTAAATCCTGCAGATAAGAAGCAAACAAGCTCTGTGTTTAAATGCGTTAAATAAAACCATAGCCAAAACCAAAGAGAAAGGCTGCAATTAAAAAGTGGCACCTTAACACGCACAGCAAGCTCAGCACAGCAGGGTATCCGTACATTTGTTACAATGGAAGTAATTTGACTGAATGACTTGCCTTAGGAGATTGTCTTTGGAATGACAGAGCCCAAATAGCTAGACAAATAGACACACTTACTGGGTTTCCATAGCTTGCAAACAGGTACCAATTTAGGAATGTATTTCCTAGACAATACTGATTTAGAAGAAATAATGCAGTCTGTTCTTCTGGCTCAGAGATAACACCACATGATTGGTGTTTGAGAGCCACAGAAGAAAAGTGACTACTAGGAAAGAGCTGGCCCTGTATTCTGGTCAGTGGGAGAAATTGTTGCTTTTGAAAGTAATGATGTGAAGTGCCATTTGTAGAGGCCATTTTGAAAGAGGTGATTATTCATGACTTGTCACTTACTGTTGGTTCTATGTTGAGTTCCTTCCGCTCTTTATCTCCTTGGTCAAAGAATTCAGTAGCTATAAGCTCAGCAATCTGTAAGAGATTTCACACATGGAGAGCCCTAAAAGTTCACTAGCTACCTACAACCAAAAGCTATTATTTCCTGTCTTTCCTTAGGATATATTGAATTGGGACCCCCCATAATGAAACTCTCCAGCTTAACAACTAGCTTTTAGGGTTCTTCATGCACACATCTGTACACAAACAAAACACCTGGCGTGCTGATATTTACTCTGACAAAACAAAGTGAGTAAAATGGCACATAGGCATCTTATCACTGATATCAGCTGCAATGATCAACAGATAAAAAGGTCAGCTGATACTAAGGTGTTGTATCAGTTGACTACTGCCTTCTAGTAACACAGAAATGTTGGAAAGAACAGGTTCCTGATTCACCTTTAGGTTACTGCTAACATGGTGACATAGCTAAATGCACAGATCTTGCTATAAAGACCTGAGAAAGTCTTCAGTCCACATACAGCACTTTGCAGGAGTACTTCCTAAGCATTCCACCACTGCTTTTGCAATAGGGACTGGATGGAAGGAGCAGAAGCTGTTACGCAGTATTTGTATTTAGCAGATCTTAAATTAAAGTATATACCCGTTGCTGAACTGGCCATGGTTTGGTTATGGCTGATAAATCACAGGCAGTCATCAGCATTGCTCTGTAGAAAAAAATAAAAAACAACAGAAAAAAAACCTATGAAATGTAGCCACCAAGTCAAGTGATTAATAACAGTATAAAATTTCAAAGAACATCAAAGAAACAAGTTAAGTTAAAGCGAAGTTATAAAGGTATCCAAGGCTAGTGATGCAGCAGACTTTGACTTTTTGTGTGAAATGAGCATGCAGAAATGAGCAAAGCTGGACCAGCTTATTCGGTGGATTCACATCACATGAACTGTTTCATTCTGTTTGCTACTGGACAGACATCACATTTATTTATTTATGACATTAGCAGTGACTGCCATTTTATTGACAGTATGAGGGCCAAGAACTGGAATAAGAGTAGATATAAAACATGACTAAATTAGGCTGTTTTTTAAAGGCACTGAATTTGAAATACGGCATCTTTTCTTTACAAGAGAGCCTATGTAAGCCTGGTTTTCTGTAGCTGTGCATTACAATATGTCTCTGTTCTTAATGCTTTCTTTTCTTCCCTGCTATTAAGGAATCTGCTTCAAAACAAGCTGCCTGTCCTGAATATTTAGCTATTAGTGTCAACAATTCTATATTGAAGTATAAAGTATCCACAGCAAAAGAACATGCTACATAGGCAAGAATCCTACACTCTTCTGGGAAGAACAGAAATGTTCACAGAGCTCCATGTGCTACTTAACAAAGTTTATTGTACAGGTTACAGAGTTTGTAATTCAGACCCAGGGAGTCATTCAGTGACTGACCACTGGTCACTATG